AAAATTTTTCAGCCCTGTCCAAAAATTACGACCAAGGTGTCATTCGATTCGTATTTTTGCCTAGAAANATAATCTTCATGCGGTCATTCTTCACTGGGGTTCTGCTGTTGAATCTGGTCATTATTACGCTTTGGTCAATGACAAAACGGACTGGTTTAAGTTTGACGATAGTCATGTCACTAAATATTCTGGCGATATCTTGAATTTATTGGATCCGCTGGAGACACCCTACATTTGGAGTTTTATCAATACAAATTTTTACGGATTCCTACCTACCTACTGCTACCTCATCAATACGATCTGTCAATTCCGAAACAATTTTGTAACGACACATTTTCTAGTCAGGTAAATTTCGAGAAACCATAATTTTCCCAAGTGATTGCAAGAAAACGAGTTTTTGCATCCCAGGTTGGTTCTTCGATCAGTTTCTGCTCTTTCTGAAAATAAGCGGATATTTCAAATCGTAACAACCAAGGGAAAGTCCTTTTTCGATTTCTTTGTTCGACCTTCTTTATCCAACAAAGGAAACATGAAAACAAAATGCTCTCCCCGTTATTCTCCAGGACAGCTTACTGAAATATTGAATACTTCTAACGAGATTTTCTTTCCAAAAAGCTTTTCTAGAATAAGCCGACGCTGATGTTGATGGAAACTAACAACTAAATTAATGTCTTAGGAAACATTTTTCATATTTTCATAACTCTTCACTTTGAGAATCCCAGTCATTAACCGCATTAGCTTATTCGAAGTTCAAGTGTGTAGATATTTGAAAATTCATCAAATCACCATAAAAAATTTATGTGCACTAAATCTACCATACTTTTCTTAGGTGATATAAAAATTATTCAGCTCCATTCATATTTTCAGTTTAAATAACTGAAATATAAATATTTTTCATTTTGCACGAAGCTGAGTACTACTCTTACATGGGCTGAAAAGTCTTGAGCCTATTATATAGATGGCGCTAGTGGTATTGTAGCTAGTACTAACCTCCAAAAGAAAGCAGTTGAAATTTTAAGATATTCTACTCATAAGTTTGTGACTTATTGGGCTAAGGGTGATACTTTTGTTATTTTCAAAACAGTGGATTGAAAAAATTCGCGTTTTAATTTTACACTGTTTCTTGATGGGAAAAATACCGTTCAAGAAAAGCAATGGCTTTAAAAGTTTTATAAGGACTCTGTCCTATCAGAAATAAGAATTAAACGTTGGTTTGCTGACTCAAAACGAGGTCATAGAGACACCGATGAAAGCTCAGCTGATTTTTGTACTGTGATGACGGAGTCTTTCAAGTTAGTGTAAGACTTGCTTCAGCAAATAATTGTTGTGTCGTCAGCGAATAGAAAACATTTAGTAGGTGCCATGGCGTGGCATAAGTCATTTATATACACAATAAATAAGAAAGGTCCCAATATTGAACCTTGAGGGACGCCATGCTCGATTTTTTTGAAATCAGATTTTATATTGTTTAGCTCAACACACTGAAATCTATTTGTAGGATATGAACGAAGGAGTTCCAGAGTAGTGCCCCTTATGCCATAATAACTTAGTTTTTCAATAAGTAGGGAATGTGAAACGCAATCGATGTAAATATATCACAAGAGCGTATTGGATTTATATTGCATGAGCATTAATCGTCTTGGAGTGAGTCAATCCTGGAAGATTCTGCCAGAAGTCAATGACACTTTTTGCACCTTCCTTTGTAAGGAAGTCAGCAGCTTCATTGCCTTCCAGATCAGTAAGGCAAAGAATCCAGCAGAGACATCTGTTAAATCTTCCTATCGAGGATAATTGTTTTTGGCAATTTGCTATCAACAGGACTACAATGGGACCCTATAGCAGAAAGTTATAGTGTATCATTCCAACCGACGGGTTGACTGTCCTTGTTAATCTTTCACTTCCTGAACCACTGTGCATGCTGTTTTTGGCGAGTGCATCAGCTTGGGTAGTGGGGGTTAAGCAAACCGGCCATCGGATGCCTGCTTCCACGTACCCCCGCTGGATATGGCAATGACAGAATCACTTGAGGTTTTGTTATTCTCTAACTGAATGGCATCCCAACGAAGGCTTGATCCTAAAGGTGCATATTCACCAAAAAAAAGAGCACGAGCGAGCATGAGCGAGCATTCGTGTATGTTTGATCGTGTTCGCTCATGTTCGCTCGTGTTTGCTCGACATATTGATGTCTCGTCCACACCAGAGCGAATATCTTCAAGTTCGTAGTCGTAGTTGATCCATCGAGCAGTGCGTACGCAGTAAATATGTCTAAAGGTGCGTATTCGCTAAAAAAACCAGCACGAGCGAGTATGAGCGAACATTCGTGTATGTTTGCTCGTGTTCGCTCATTATTGATTATTGATGCAGAATGCTTGTTCACTCTTGTTCGCTCTTGTTCGCTCGTGCTCGCTTTTTTGGTGAATACGCACCTTTAGGTGTGTGTATCCGTGCCGAGAGGATGAATAACACCAATCCTATCAGCTGTCCCTACGGAACCTTCGAGATACCAGGCGCCCTGCGCTCTTGTCGTAGCATCGCCTTGTCACGGTATTGCGCCGCTCTGCCGTGATTGACCTTCTTTCCCTAGCTACTCGTGGAAATTTTAAGGACACAGTGAACTTGAAAATTCTTTCTGACGCTGAGTCTACAGAGGAGATGGATGTCGAGCTCACGACTCCAACTGACCTCCCTGTAAATTCAGATCAAAAGCGAGAGATTCTCAACTCTCCAACGACTGATCCAATAACTGAACCTAAACAAAAATTTGGTGGTTCAGCCAGGAAACATCTGAGTCGTCTCCTCAAAAGCGGGATAGCTTAAGAAACCGCTTTGCACCAAATTCTCGAACGGCGTACGCAGAATCTGCCTCAGGTGGAGGAACAAACCCACCATAAGCAGGTTAGCAAACCTTAGCGCTCAAGTGATTATTCACCAAAACCAGAGGCGAAAAAGACCTTCACGGTTGAATCTAAGGCATCATCAGGTATAGCTGACGTGCAAACACCGTCATATGGGAAGTTTACCGCGGGTATCAAGGTGGGAATCTGGCACCTTGACTATCCGACGACCTCATTAACGATGGAACAGCAGAGCATATACTTTGTGCCTGCCCCGCTGGGGACCGAATCAGGTTTTTAGATTTCGGCAGAGCCGTTCTCTTACCATCTGACCTGAAAAACCACTCACCATACAAACTAATCGGCTCCATTAAGAAGCTGTGTTTATTTGGTCGAGTGTGAATAGGCGACAACAAACCCTTGGGGGTTGCGGTGGAGGGTCGAATAGACCCTCTCACTTTGGACCCAACTTAACCTAACCATGACACTAGCCGCTGACTACTATACAGTAACCATTCTTTTTGTTCGCCTTTTGGGAGTACCTGGATGGCTCATCGTGTCCAACTATTGTCCTAAATGTCTCCTGTTGTCGTAGATGATCAACTTTGCATCACACGTAACGATCTGGACCAAAAAAGAAGAACAGACCTCAAAACAGACCGTCTTCATCAAGGTCCTCAAATCCTTGTCCTCAAATCCTGTAGATCTACCACTTCTGGACTCATCTTCGTGGCTAACTGAACCAATGTCGAACAGTGCGTTCATTGCCAAATACCTGGTTGATTTTTAGGACTGTTTCGGCAGTGCTATAGTTCAATTTGAATTCGTAGAGAAAAATTGGCTGAAAATTGTCCTACATCATATAGTAATAAGATTAAAGAGAAAAAAGATTAATTTCGAAACAATTAACAGCATCAATGTATGTACGACACAGCAGAATAAATATTTATTGAGATATGGAGCAACAAAAACACATGACTTTGAAACGTACAAAACTTTTGGAACAACCTTATAGACTAACCTATTTTGTACTCACATTGTTGTTTGAAATAAGTTTCTGGAAGAAGAAGTAGCTTTTTGTACTAAAACACTATTTATCCAACACTGCTACTTTTTAGCTTCAAGTAACAGCCAAAAATATTCTCGGACAATCAAGGTGCATTGGTAGCTCTTGGCTCCTACCGAGCAACGTCTACATTGGTAGCAAATTGCTAAAAACGACTCTCCTCGATGGAAAGACTCAACAGATTGCCTCTGGTCTGGATTCCTGGCTATTCTGGCCAAGCTGCTGACTCCCTTGCAAAGGAGGGTACTGCAAGCAGCTCCATCGAACCTGTCATTGGCATCGCTTTAGGCTCTGCCAAACGAACATTGAACCCCTGGATAGCAAGAAAAGTTATGGACTTCTGGCAGAATCTTCCAGGATTGGCTCACTCCAAGGCGTTTATTCACCCTTCGAAGCTTGATACCAAACATTTGTTGGACTACAGTAGGGATGAACTATGAAGTTTAACAGGCCTTCTTACAGGTCACTGTCATTTGAATCATCATATGCAGACTGGGACTGTCAGAAGACAGTGTGTGTCGCCTCTGTTTGGAAAATGATCAAACAGCAGAGCGCATACTTTGTGCCTGCTCCGCTGGGGACCGAATCAGGTTTTTTAGAGTTCGGCAGAGCCGCACTCTTACCATCTGACCTGAAAGACCACTCACCATACAAACTAATCGGCTTCGTTAAGAAGCTAGGTTTATTTGGCCCAGTGTGAATAAGTGTGAGTCACAATGAACCCTTGCGGGTTCCGGTGGAGGGTCGAATAGACCCACTCACTTTAGACTTAACCTAACAGCCAAAAGAAGCGGACCCCTTCCCATTCCATGGAGGAAAATCAGTCTCCTCTCATCCCTGACAACAGATTAGAGAGAATAGTGGACAATTTCTTTGCCTCGGACTAGGAACTATCCCTGCTTGCATAGCTTTTATGCATCCGTCTTCAATGCATATGAATTCATGTTCCAAAATGTTAACACATCGATGGAGAAACATGTACCCTGAAATGATGATTTCATTCCAAAATCTAGGTCAAAAACAAAACCTATTGATAACAACACAATAAATATACAATGCTGAAAGAGACCGCCTCACGTATTCCTTGATCTTCTTTGGAATACAAATTATATTCCAAAGATTATATAAATTCCAAAAGAATTTACTCATGCTTTAGTCGTTTCGAGGTCTGCAATATGAAGGTAAGAGTGATTTTACTTTCAATAGTTGGTTTCTTCGGGTTCGGTGTGTTTTTCCACAGCAATAATAGTACTAACAATGTCGTTCTCAAATTCAGAAGTGTTTTGATTTTTTTCTGTGAGCCAGGTCAGTTGATTAATTGATCTTTCAACTGCCACATCAATGGATTACTGGGGCTGTGGAGGGAAATTGATATTATCAATAGGTAGAATTTAACTTTTTTTTCTACAACTGTGATTACACTATTTCTGAGGTACGTTTTGTTAAGCTATGTGATGTTATCCAGCAATTGTTGGTGATATCACGTTTTTGAAAAAAGTTCTGGTATTGAAAAAATTCACGAAGAACAAATTACATACCAGTGGAATGAAGTAGCTATCCGAGACAAAACAGTAAACAAGTTTTTCGAATGGCTGATGTCTTTACAAAATGATTTTCACCAATGAACTTGGTATAAAGAATCAGTACTGAATGCAGAACATTTTACACAGAGTGATAAATTTAGTGTTTAAATTAATTTTGTACTTCACGTATGAAATTTGCACCTGTGGCATGAAATGGATCTATTAGAAACTGTTTCATTAGGTTGTTTGCCAACATAACATAAGTCAATTAATCAAGTCAGCTTAAAAAGTGTGTGCTTGGATGCTCGGGATTCGATTAAAATCGACGAAAGTTTTTTTTTCTGGTCCTGGTTGACGACGAAAATATTTGTGACTTCTTGGTCTCGGTGCTAGAATTTTCATGACTTTGTTGTTTTTTGAAGAATAAAATATCTGTTGGTTGCGAAATATTCATAATTATAGATGATTCAAAGCGTGGATTTTCATAAAATGTTTTTGGTGACGAATTATGTTTGGTTTGCAGAATAATTTACTTATACAATCTATATTCGGTGTTACAGAAAATCGAAGATTTTTGTAAATGAAGTCACAACCAAAATAAACTATTTGGGAAAAAACAGTGATCACAATACATGTATATATCAAATTATTATTATATTATCAAGTTTCAGTTCACAAAACTTTACATAATTATGTTCAATGTGAACTATACATTACTGTACATGCATCTTGGAATAAGACTAGCTCACGCTGTCAGTACTATCTAATTTTCGAACAAAATTCAATCTATAACCTCAGCTAGCCAAAGCTACATCATCAATTGAAACATAACAAACGTAACTATGTTTTTTTGTGATAGTTAAACAGTTGGATCTAGTTCTGGGTAGCTGAGGCTACATGTTGATGTTTGTGCCATTGAAAGCTAAGTAAAGCTTTCGATTAGAATATAAATACAAAAAAGGTTATTTTCGTGATATAGGAAATTTTTTCCTGTGAGGAAAATGGATAGATAGATACATAGATAGAATTTATTGATCCTTTTTGCTACATAATGTGTAGACATGGGATAAGTCATAATTGTAGTTGAGTTATAAACATGCCAGTCCTGATGTCGAAAGAAATACGATCACTCATTGCTTACTTCAAGTGTAAATTTGTCTACTGTGTAAAAATCCTTTTCTGATGAATAACGTTTCAATTTTTTTTTATTGAAGATATGAGGAGACAGTCTTTATATCATTTGGCAGTAGATTGTACATTCGAATGCCGGCAAATTTAGGAAATTTTTCATATTTTGCGTTTGACGTTTTCGTGTTATGATCATATCTTTTCTTCTTATGTTATAGTTATGCATATCTGTTTTTGTTTGGAGAAGTTATTTATTTTCATGTACAAATGTTAATGTTTTAAAAACGTACAGACTTGCAACTGTCAATATTTTATTTTGTTGGAATATATCTCTACTTATGATGCACTGTTTGGAACCTTTGGTATAGTAATGAATATTTCTGTTTTTTCCCAACACCAAATCGTTATTTTTAACACCTCAACACGTGTTTCGATCACCAAGTGATCATCTTCAAAGAGGAAGATTAAAGGTTTTAATCTTCAAAGAGGAAGATTAAAGGTTTTAATCTTCAAAGAGGAAGATTAAAACCTTTGATCTTCCTCTTTGAAGATGATCACTTGATGATCGAAACACGTGTCGAGGTGTTAAAAATAACGATTTGGTGTCGGGAAAAAACTTGAGTAATATGGAGTTCTGAATTCTAAATTAAATATCAATCTCAGCAGCGTTTTTTGTTTTATAAAAATCCTGTCTGATCCAGTAGCTAGTCCCTAGACCTGAATGTTATCATACATACGAGTGAAATTTGGCGTAATAAAATGATATCAGTGAATTTGTATCTAATTTGCGCTTAGGAGATTTTATCAGGTAGTATGATTGATTAAATTTCTTGCATATATAATCTATATGTTCTTGCCAAATGAGGAGTGAGTCAACCATTATTCCTAAGAATTTTGTCGAGCTGGCCAGTTCTAAAGGTTTATTTTGGAAACCAGGATTGAGATTATGTTCTCTTCTCGATGAATTCGCAAATTGCATGTATACTGTTTTGTTTTAGTTCACAATGTCTGTTCTTGTTACACCACCCATTAAATTCGATTAGAGCCAGATCATTTACATATAATAAAAAAATTAGTGGACCAAGAACGGTGCCCTGAGGGATACATGGTATTATTCTGCTTCACCTGGAAACATCTATTCCCCAAAAAAGAAACAAGTAATTGATTTATATTACCACGAATCCCTAGGTTGAAGAGTGCGCCTACTACAAATTTGAAGTTCAAAGTGTCGAGCACAGACGAGCACAAAGGCAGAATGCGTGATCCAGTCCATGCTGAAATTCCATAATAGTAGGCACTACATTCTCAGAAATATTCCATTAAAACGAAAACATTGTTGTCAGGTTGTGATTGTATATATTTCATCAAATGAAAAAATATAAAGAATCACAACCTGATAACAATGTTTTCGTTTTGATGCAATATTGCATGTTTAGTATGTATCATTATGTCAGAAGCAAACAGCATTACCAGGTTTTGAATCAGCATATTGCTAAAATTATAAATTTCAGTTGAATATAAATATTCCATTTCTTGTTTTATTATTGGTGATGTCATCTATTATCAGTCTCATGAGATATTATTCAGTATTTTTCAATTCTTACAATAGCATACAAAACGTAATTTTATTCTCTGAGTTCACAGAGCTCATATAATATGTCATAATATTTTTCACATACCATCTGATTTGGGTATTGTAGTACACAACACAGTTCCAAGCTTACAATCACCACTGTACTTCAAAATCACAATCATGCTTTCAAATACAAATTTGAGCACATGTGTATTACTTTCAGATCCTACTCAATATCCTCCTGACTCTCAGCGTCGTTTTATGTGAAGTTCCTCCACCATATCCTGCTAGGGGATTTAGACCAAGTCCACAATTTTTCATACCTCCCCCTAGCCAACCACAAACACAATATGGACCACCGCTAGACGTCAATCCAGTAAAAGTGATAGTCAGACCGCACAATTTGGCCCAAAGGCAACGACCTCAAAGTCAAGCCGAACTAGATTTTCTTAATAATTTAAGAATAGTTAATAACCAGCTTGAAGTCACATATGGCGTTCCAAGTAAACAGGAACTGCCCAGTTCACAGTATGGACCTCCATATAATAATAAGCAAGTATCCAATCCTGCAGGCAATAAATTTCAGAACAACATAGCTGCCAACCAACCACAGGTAATCTATGGTCCACCAAACAGAATAGAGCAGTCACGACCTACTGACAACAGGTTCCAGAGCAATATAGTTGCTAACCAACCACAAGTAACATATGGTGCACCTAATAGAGTGGAACAATCACAACCGCAGGTAACCTACGGTCCACCAAACAGAATAGAGCAGCCACGACCTACTGACAACAGATTCCAGAGCAGCATAGTTCCAAACCAACCACAAGTAACATATGGTGCACCTAATAGAGAACAATCACAACCGCAGGTAACTTACGGTCCACCAAACAAAATAGAGCAGCCACGACCTACTGACAACAGGTTCCAGAGCAACATAGTGCCAAACCAACCACAAGTAACATATGGTGCACCTAATAGAGTGGAACAATCACAACCGCAGGTAACTTACGGTCCACCAAACAGAATAGAGCAGCCACGACCTACTGACAACAGGTTCCAGAGCAATTTAGTTGCTAATCAACCACAAATAACATATGGTGCACCAAATAGAATAGAGGAGCCACAAAGTCAATATGGAATACCAGATTCTAAAGACATTGAAACATTTGAAAGGACTCGTCAAGTTGAAACACAACTACAAAAAATTAACGAGTTGAACAACATACCTGCAATCCAATATTTGCCAGTAAGAGAAGCTACCAGTTTCAAAACCTCGAATCTAAATGAAAATTCTGCTCAGCATTTGCCAGTGAGACCATCTACCGATTTCAGAAATGAAGTACTGAAACCGTCACAACAATATCTACCTATAAAAGCTGCAACTAATTTTGGAAACAGCTTCCAGCAATCCCAATATACCTCAACAACTGAAAACTCTGATATCAATGATCGATACCTGCCACCGCAGACCTATAACTCTCCACAAGAGAAAAACCCTGGTAAGGTAACTTTCCTAAATAATTTCGATGTAACTCCCTATCAAGTCCCCAAGGAATCCGGCCAAAGTTTCCAGAATAACTTTCCCACCACCAAAGAAAACCGTGAATCTGTTCCAAATAATGCTGAAGCACCTAGTCAAGCAAATCTCCCATCGCAATACTCCCCCCAAAGACCTGCTGCTCCCAATTTTGATATAACCCAGGTCAAAGTGAAGTCTTGGAGTAAGGGTGTCAGTGGAAATAACAACAAACTAGAACCCGGTTTGACATCAACGAATGAAAATTCTGACCAGAGCGGATTTGTAGGAGATTCAGTTACTGATAGATATTTGCCACCTTCAACTACTCCAAAGACAGTCGTACGAAGGCCAAGCCATCCAACTGTAGCACCAATTCCTACTACAACACCACAGGAACCTGAGGAGGTGAGATTTTGATCAGAGATATTAGCTCACGGCCTTCAAACCCGGAAAATAGTAACACTGAACATTATATTCGCTTTCAAAAATTATTCCATGTAACTTGGTGAAGCTTCTTCCCTTCCATAATATTTTTTGATAGAGTAAAGCTACCAGATATATCAATCGTGGTGATATTATCATTAACATATGACAGAAACGTAATAGGGCCTAGCACAGAACCTTTTGGCACACCAAATCTAATTTCCCCTGCTCTATGGGAATAATTTTTTTTTTCTATGAATATCTACGGATATTTCATTTTTAAGATTGCCAATGATTGATTTTTTGTCAGTCCCAGTAACAGGATAGTAGAATATGACATTTTCAAAGTAGGATGTTTTCATTAGAGGGCCGGAGAAAAAGTAAACTAATTTTATGCTGTTGTTCTCCTCCATCAAGCAATTTATTTTTTTCTATTCTTCAGACTACACCATTCAACGACCAATCAGATAGTCCAAACGTCGCTATAGCAACTGCTGTTGCGGGACTACCAGGAGATCAACAATTCTATCTACTTCAACCTGATGGTCGTCTTCAAAGGGTGTTGTATCAAAAAACCCGCGAGGCAGGAGATCAGAACTACGAATATACAGCGAATTATCATTTCCAAAACATTCAAGCTGATCCCAACGTAGTTTACTCACCGCTCATCAACTTTGGATAATTTATATGTGATTCCTTGTGATATGTTAGTAGTTATTTCATGAAATAAAAGTGAAACTCTTGTTATCTGTGGGACTGATGATTTCTATGAGATTTTTCTCTACCTTGTCCATTTTGTTTCGACGTACCAAGGTGGTATTATCCTTTAGCAGACTACAATATCTCTTATTTTCCAGCGTTCAATGGCGAATGTACGTTCGATAGTTTAACTAAAGTAAATCGAAATCATTTACTTAAAATAATTGTCGATTTAGGACAGTTTGGTTTTCCCTTACTTCGTGAGACGTACAAGTTTCAGCGGTTATCTCACTCAGAGTCAGACGATGATCTACATACACATTGTCTTGTTTTTGATATAGTAGATCCACCGTAAGTTGTATGTAACATTTCCAGCGTTACGGCACACGAAGTTCTAATTGCAAGACAAAATTTGAGACAAATTATTTGCTAGATACTTTTATCCATGCCCTTCGGGTTATTAGCTAGGTGAATAGTTGTTTTCTGATTGGTGTCAGTCCATTAACCTACTTTGGTGGTGAGTCGAGACTGGCCTGAACAAATTGTTCTTTTACTTAATTTACTTAAATAACAAATTGAGAACTCTGAACAAACTAAATGACGAATGGCACTAAAATTTACTTACCTTTTAACGTGTGATTCCTAATACGGTTGCAGAATCATCCCCGCTTCAACCAGATAAATTCTCTCGAGAAAAATATCTGGTCGAGGCGGGAATTGAACCCACGATCTTCCGATCGTGAGTCGGGCGCACTACCACCGCGGCCAATTCCACAACAAAATGTAATGTAACAATTCTAGGTTGAATTTTCTTCACCTTCAAGGATCCAAATGTATCCATAGTTTTTCTTATGTTTAAATAGATAATATGCAGAATTACGTATGTTTCAGACTTATTTCTAATGTAACTACCCTAGGTTGCATTTTCTTCACTTTCAAGGATCCAAATGTATCCATAGTTTTTCTAATGTTTGATTGAATAATATGCAGAATTAATTATCTTTCAGACTCAATTCTAATGTGACTAGGTTAAATTTTCTTCACCTTCAAGGATCCAAATGTATCCATAGTTTTTCTAATGTTTTAATGGATACTTTGCAGAATTAAATATTGTGAAACGGACATAAATTAGTATTCAGCCAGTCCAGCTAGCCGAGCCTTTATTCCTCAACTAGATTTGATAGCACGTTTACTAACTATCTGGGCGACTAGGGGCCACAGGCAAGAAATGTTAATGACTGTACCAGGGACGCTTTGAACATAAAAGCACTGGTAGTATATACATTTCCCATTTTCCGGGCAGTGATTGTGAACACCCCTCGTAGTGCTCTTATTTTTATTGCCGTTCCAATTGGGAATGGATAGACTATAACTAATGACTTTTAATAAGTCTGAAATCAGAATAAATCTATTTACGAAAAAATCAATTTTGTTGTAAAGAAGCGTGGGATGCTTTAGGTTATTTTTTTTATTATGGCTCCAATCTGTCGAACAGTTTCCTAACAAAGTATTTATAACAGAGGATATCTAGCACCCCACGCTCTTCAAAAACAAATCTAATTTTTTTGTGAATAGGTTTATTCTGATTTCAGACTTATTGAAAGTCATTGGTTACATCAAGTCATAGGATTTATTATAGATGTTGAACACAATCTTAAATTACTTTTGAATCATTTTTTAGTTTGTGTTGCTATTGAAGGGCATTTCTTTAGTTTTGTTAAAATATTATTTATTTTTCATTTTTTAGTTTGTATTGCTATTTCAAGCCCATTTGTTTTAATATTAAATATGCAGGCATGCGCAGAGAGCGTGGTTGCCTCACTTGCTCTTACATAGAGACTGTGTAAGGAAATTATTTAATCATGGCTATACTGATCGGTATAATGAAATGAACTTATGAAATCATTTTATTGTCACCGATTCTTGATAAATGTATAAAGTTTAAAATACATCTGTCTTTTAAAGTTAGTCAAAATCGAGTCCAAAGGAGTCAGTTACAAACAAATATAAAAGTGAAGCTAATAAAAAGCGTGTTATAAATGTCAAGTGATCTTCCAATTGCAATAATTCCTATTGACATAAACTCTCAGTAAGACTTAAAATTCATTTTATTACAAAAATAAAGTTTGAACAATTGACTAATAAAAAACCTACTTCATCGCTAGTTGAACATTGTATACAGATGTGATTCCCAGCATTTCAACCACGATAATTATGTTGTTGTGTATCTGGAATGACAGAGTCAACAAATTTCCTGAAACAAAAAATGTTTTCATTCGCCACAGAAACTGAAATATAAATGATCAAAATATAAACTTCATCGACATATTTACATTATAATCTCGGGTAGTTCGGGGGCTCTATAAATGAATTTATGGTCATATCCATATTTTTTGTCAAACGGGTGGAACTCTATTTTCCCCTGAGTTGCTGTTCTGCATCGTCTGGCCGCCTCATAGAGCTGAAAAATAGTGAAATGAGATGAAAATAGTCGTTTCTGCAACAGTTCTTTGCCAGAAATCAAAGTAAGTCTAGAGACTGTATCGAGGAGAGATACATACCTNATTATTATACCTTATAACCTAGTGAAAATGGAACTACATGGTCATCTTCAGCATGTAAAATGAGAATGGGAGCGTCTATTTCACAAATGAACTGGTCAGTTTTGAAGGTGAATCCATTCTCCTGCATCGGCTGAATAACAGTGTAGGAAAACCACGGTAAATTCCGGAAAATCTGCAAATTTTCAGTTAAAAAATAAGGCTTATAAAACACATGGGCTAAAAAGTCCTGGGCCTTAAAAAGAAAACCCGTTTTTTTTGTTCAAAATTAACTTTATTCATCAACGTGATCTCCATCAAGAGCCACACAATCATTTCAGCGCCGCTCTAACACTTCAATACCACTTTTGTAGAACGATTTATCTTTTGCCTCAGAATAGGGCTCAGTTCCAGCAATGACCTCTTCATTCGAGCAAAATTTCTTACCGGTGCGTATTTTATTTGAGGTCTGCAGCCAGTAGTCGATGGGAGCTAAATCTGGCGAATATGGTGGATGTGGGAGTAATTCGTCCAATTCATGTTTTGTCTGACTTGAGATACGGTGCGTTTTCTTGATGAAACAAAACTTTTGTCTTTGCCATATGCTGTCGACCTTCAAACGCTATATAATATTTACTGTTGATGGTATTTCCCTTCTCCAGATAGTCCAAAACCTTTCCAGCCGATTGTTGTGCTTTCGTGTGCTTTGGACGAGGATCACCAGTTGCTCTCCAGTTGCTCGATCGTTTTGATTTAGGAGTCAAATGATGGATCCATGTTTCATCCATTGTCACACATCGACGCAAAAATTCCGGTTTGTTATGTTTGAACATCACCAAACACTGCTCAGAATCATCAAGACGTTCTTGTTTTTGGTCAAAAGTGAGCTCCATCGTTTTGAATATAATAAAAGTAGTGCCACTCTTAGCACAAAAACTCACGAAGTTATGAGTAGAATATCATGAAGTTTCAACAGCTTCATTTTGAAGGTTAGTTCTAACTGAAAAAGCGGTGAATGCAATGATACCGGCACCATCTGTGTGTTAGGTCCGAGACTGTTCAGCCCATGTAGTATAAATATCAATAACGATATCTTCATGTGATATACCTACTTTAGCTAAAGGAAATTTACTAATCTCTTCCTTCATGTTATTGAAGGGAGCTTCTAATATCACACCGGCGGGAACTGATCCTTTTCTTTGTAGATTCGCCATCGACTGAATTGCGATGCTAGTTCCCAAAGAATGACCCCATATAAACAAACGGCCAGTAGTTCTATTGGACACCCATTCGTAGATGTTCACGCTGTCTCTCACCAAATTATCTTCAGAAGGTTCTACATTTGATGAATCTCCATAACCTAGAAATATATCGAACAATATCGATTCTGTGTAAGTTTTTCAAACTTTTGGGAATCATTTTGTACGGTGTGGTAGGAAAATGTCATATCAAAAAATCAACACGGCTTCCAAGATATAAAAATCGTGTATAACCAATCTGACTTGTATGTCACAGTTCTTGGCAGATGCACTCGATAAGAGATAACAAGTTGATCTCATTTATTTTGACTCACAGAAGGCATTTGATCAGACTGATTTGGAAATTTTGATTCATAAACCTTATCTGCTGATCTGAATCAGCTTTTCAGATCTTACCATTCGACAGGTATCAGTATGTTGAAATAGATGGCCATGAATCGATGAACTATTCAACCACATCAGGGGTGCCACAGGGTTCCAATCTTGGACCACTGCAGTTTTTATCGTTGATTAACGACCTACCTAGATCTGGGCTCTATTTATATGATAGTAGTAATAATATTTTATTATCCACTTGACAACATACATTGTATGGGATTCGTCGGATACATTGAAATCATTTTGCCAAATAGAAATACATTAAGAAACGGATGAATATGAATCATTTTCATCTGTTAGTTTCGAACCAAAAGTGATTCACGAAAAAAATACACTTTTTTACTAGCATATAATTCTTCTGACGAGTATTTATGTGATGTTTGTTTCTAACAAGTTCAAAGGAACATTAATTTGAATAAACATAAACGCAAAGTTCAAAGATAAAGAAATTCGGTAGTTATTAGCCTGGATTTTTTGAAGAAAATCACACATGAATGAGTACTAGATACTTTTGCAATTGTTCTGATGATTCTTTTTTGTACCAATAATACTTTATAAGCATAAGAGGACCAGCCCCAGAAAATTATTCCATATCGTAGGTGTGTCTCTATTCTGTCTGTTTAAAATCTGTTTTTCCGTTAATCAGCTGTCGCCCCCATACGAACGACAACTCTCAGAAGTTGAGAAACTTGTGCGAGCTAAGGACTAACGAGGACTTACCTTTTAACGTGTGATTCATAACACGTTGCTCATAATAAACAGAAATAAGTTGATGCCCATCTAGGACAGTACGTAGGTTCTCAAGCATGTACACCAGTGTATTCACCTTATTAGAACCATAAATGCCCTGAAGACAGATGTTTAGTTGGGAGCATTTTTTTTTTGTTTATATAATTGTGAAATCTGATGAATCTTGTTTTAGTGTTATTCAGAAATAAAACTGTGTACACTTTCAATCTCCGACACTCATCAATGATTTCGGGTAGAAATTCATGGGAAATTTTCCGCTAATTTTATGGAAAAGTAAAAAATGGGCTGTTAGAAATGCAGCCTTTGTCACTGTTCAAAGTTCTCATGCTACAATTTGCTATTTCAAAAGCATTCAAACATATTTGATGCGTGTTCTTTGAAAGGAGTTTTTCTGGCTCGATTTGTCTGTCCGATATATTTTTTGTCACAGTCCTCGAAGCTTATTTCATATATCCCCGACCTTTCACTTTCCACTATCCTGTTTTTAGGCTTACCTGACATTTGTTGAAGAGAGCAAAAAGTTTTGAGGCTATTTTTACGTTCATTTTTTAAAACGGATAATCGTCAAATATAGTAAATGACTTGAATGGGAAACATAAATTCGAAGAGAATTTGCATGAATCTTCGAATTTTCAAAAAGACATTCAAAGTTTATAGTTCTTCTACAAACCAAGATACACTAACGGATTAGAGCGTGTTTTTGAAAAATTGACCTACTGATTGGTTGGTAGGGTGGTTTCTAAGGGTTAAATAGGTAAGAAGTAAGGTGGGTTAGGGGGTAGATGGTTAGGTGAGTTAGCCACCCTGTGAAGCTAGCTGATAGGGATGATTTATAGGGCTTCAGCCGGTTTCATCTTAGAATATGTGGGGTTTGGACCTTTACACAGTTTAACAAATTATGACCAGTCCGCAAAACACAGGGGAAGTGTACGGGGTCCTTCATGCTGATTACAGAAGTGATTGATTTACCAACAAACAAACCAAAATTCAATATCCTGCCATAGCGACATCAACCCAATCTTCACCCACTTATCCAAAACAAGCACTTTCCCAATCACAACAAATGCAATACCCTTCTCGACGCGCGTTTCTCCAACCAAGTTGGGTACTTTAAGATAGTCTTTTTCAAAGTGGGCGATAACGCCCCCTTGAGGGCGCTGGAGGTCTGTAGGGGGGCAGTAAAGGGTACAGAGAAGATTGGGGGGCGTTGAAGCAGTTTAGCAGTTTATGTTTTTTCCTTTCAACACAAACTGTACCGATCCTTTACGCTTAACGTGCGTTTCCCCATGTAACGCTATCTAGGGGACTAGACAGTAACTATTTCTTGTGCGATAGTTGTCAAACTGTACAATAGATGGCGGTAAGCTTCAATGCGAAGCGAGAAGATTCTAATCTCCATTCTCGAGAGTACTAGGCCCGCCCGCTGCCTCATATAAAAGCGCGCGCGCCATCCAGCCAGTAATGTCATTCGACGATATTACGAATTTAGTTAGCGACTAGCTAGGTAAAGTGCTGTACGTGCGGTGGTGAATACTGTGAGTGGTGTCATTAGCAAGTTTTTGATACTCGATTCTTTACTTCGACATTTTTGAAGATAAAATTATGTCGGAAAGAAAATAGACGACACAGCAGTATAGCGCGGAATATATAAAATATGAATTTATTGAAAATCCCACAAATCCATCTTCGCCTATGTGCCTTCTTTGTCAAAAAACATTTTCGAATGAAGCGATGAAACCCTCAAGGCTACAAGATCATTTCAATGAAATGCATTCAGATAAAAAAGTGTGACTTATTTTCAAGAACTGGAAAAGAAACGCTCAGCTCAGCCAACGGTGTCAAAATTGTTTTCAGCAGCTTCTAAGCAAGACGACGACGGACTCCGAGCTTCCTAAAACATCTCCTTGCTAATTGCTCAAACAGGTAAACCTCACACTATTGGAGAGGATTTAATTTTACCGACAATAAAAGAAGTAATAACTACTATGCTCCATAAACCAGCGGCAGATATTATCCAAAAAATTCCTTTGAGCAATAGTTCCGTGCAAAGACGAATTGATGAGATGGCTGAAAACATTGAAGAGTCATTGTGCAATCGTCAGAAGACTTCTCAGTTCTCAATTCAGTTAGATGAGTCCGTTTACCAACCAATGAAGCATTGTTGTTGTCATACGTGAGGTTTATTAAAAGTGAGAAAATATATCAAGAACTACTATTTGCCAAAAATTTAGAGACGGATACAAAAGGAGAAACCATATATAATACACTGGAAAAATGTTGTGATGAGAAAGAAATTCCACTGAAGAATATTACATCAGCTGCTACGGATGGCGCTCCAGCTATGACAGGACGTCACAAAGGCTTCATAGCGTACTTAAAAAATAAAATTCCAGATGTGCTCGCTGTACATTGCGTCATTCATAGGCAACATTTGGTTGCGAAAAATTTGAGTGAGCGCCTCTCTCAATCACTGCAATATATCATCAAAGCAGTCAATAAAATCCGAAACAGCTCTTTAAATGACAGATTATTTAATCAGCTTTGTGTTGCTAATGATGAAGATTTCAACCGATTGCTATTTCACACAGAAGTACGTTGGTTATCAAGAATGTCTGATTCGATTTTACAATCTATTTGACTCTGTAATAGAGTTCTTGGAAAACAAAGACAAGAAAACAAAGACAAAGAATTGCACGACAACCTCATCACTTCAAAGAATGATATTGTTTACTTGACAGACCTGTATAAATTATGTAATGATGTCAATCTCCAACTTTAAGGTAACGACTTCAATTTCATTAAAACAAAAAATGTCATTGCTGCTTTTGTAGCAAAATTGCTCTTATACAAGAATAATATCGGCAGACGTGAGTTTTGCAATTTCCCTAATTTTTCAGTAGTATCCTTCAACAACGACGACTTGCTTGTTTACCGCCAACATTTGGAAAACCTCCACAGTGATTTCGCAGAACTATTTCGGGACAATTCAAAATTGGAATTACCGGACTGAGTGTTGGATCCTGTTTCAAATGTCAACACAGCAGGATCTCCCCAGCTGGAAAAAGAACTCATAGAACTGATAACGAACGAGGAAATGAAAATGAAATAAAAAAACGGATATCAAGAATTTTGGCTACAAAAGCCAATCCCGCAATTGTACCCTGGATTGTGGTCCATCGTTCAGCGATTTTTGATAGCATTTCCATCAACGTATTCGTGTGAACGTGTATTTAGTGTTGTGGCAACGTTGCTAACTAAAAAGAGAAATCGGTTGCAGATTACCGACGAACGCGGTGACTTATGGCTGTTTTTGAGTAAAATCGAGCCTGATACTAACAAACTTGTTAAAAATCATAAAATTCATCCTTCACATTAGATTAGTTTAAAATTCAAATTGAAATGTTTGTTTCAATAACATGAATAAAAGTTTTCCTAATATTACAAAATGGTGTTTTACATTACCCTCACCAGAAAGTCTTATTTTCACATGACACACATAATTTAATTATTCCAATATTGACTGCGATTGTGATTTTTAAGATGTAGTAAATAAAAAAAATTGGGGAGCGCTAGAAAATAATTAATTCTCAAAGTGGGCGGTAGACAAATTAAGTTTGACAACCTCTGCTTTAAGAGGTTAAAAAAACTCTGTATTCAAGCATGACATTTCTGGTAATAAGTGCTTGTTTCGAACTCATTTAACGCCAGAGGATCCAGTTTTACTTTTTTATTCACCCACTTACTTCTATAATCAAAAGCAATTACATGAAAATGCTTCCGCAGAACTTTGTAAAGCTGCACTCTATGATCGGTCAGTCTGGTACCGGCATTTCCGTGATGATAAATGATGACGTCCTAATAT